TAAAAGGGTGTTTGGCATTGAGGTTATCAAAATTTGATTTTTTTTTACTTTAAATTAATTATTTTTAGTATTATTTTGGTACATTAATATTAAAAATAATTTTTTAAAAAATAAAAAATATTATTTTACTATATTTTTAAATAAAATATTTTTTAAAAACGTAATTACGGCTACATCCTATATAACAGCACTTACCAGTGGGCTGTTGCTTGGGGATTGTTAAGGGTATAGAACATATATTTTATATAACTGAAGTTTGCTTACAGTAGATAAAACAAATGATTGACACTGCTTCTGTCGAGAATCAAATTTCGCTGGTCACGTGAAAAGTAAAATCCTCACACTTACCACTGAAATACCATGTATTTTGTTTAATAAATTGTCTATTAATGATGTAATTAACTATTAATAATCTATATTAATGGCGTGCGATTCTGTTCTGATGATCCATCTATTGCTTGCCGTGCATGTATTGAGAATTATTTTTTTAATTATAAGTTTTTTTTTCCTCCATTGAGGGAAAAAACTTTGTTGCCATAATAATAATTTGGGGATAGCATGTCTGTTTTGGTTAAATATCCAAACCAATTTATTTATTTTTTAAAATTAAAATAAAAATTAGTTAAAACCAATAAGTTGTGATTTGATTAATTAAAAGAAAAAACTAGAAAAAAACCAATTTCATCTTGGTCAAATATATCAAGAATGTTTTTCTAAAATTGAAAATAAAAAAGTCAAGAAAAACAAGTATCGAACAAAAATTTGAAAAAAATAATTACCACAACATCCATGACAATAGTTGTAGCATTTGCATGCTATGGCAAACCAACAATCTTATAAATGAACATGAAAAATAAATATATAATAGATCTAAATAAATAAATAAAAAAATTAGTAACTGTTTTAAGCAATCTGAGAAGTCTTTCTCTTGTTAAGGTGACTATCTAAAAACTCATGCATCTAATATTGAGTGGCTATATATATGAATTTGATTTTTAAAAAAGTGATAAAAAGATCAAGAGATGAAAATTGAATAGGAGGCTCTAAAGGACTTTGAGATATAAAATTAATATGAGAATTAAACAATGATAAAAATAAATGTCAAGGTTAAAGGATCCACCAATGATATTTCAAAAAAGATATAGTATAAACTTTTTTTATTACTCAACTGGAAACCACACATAAAGAAAGTTTCAATTGAATTATAAATGATTAACATGATTATATTAATTATCTTAATCGAATAATGTTAATACTTGTAAATGTTGTTAGGTATTCATGATGATAATTTATATTAACAACAAATAAAGTTCTTTTTATAGTACATGTGTAGGTTATACCATACAATTGAGTTACGAAAATGCTAAGTATTTGTTGTACCAAGTATTATGCAACATAAATCTAGATTAATTATTTAACAAGCAAAGTATTAAAAGTGAACAAGATAACAAATACAAAACATATTAGTATCAAACATTAAAGTCCATATTGAGTTTATATCATATTTATTTCTACACTATTAGTATAAATTTTTCACCTTAACATAATAAAGAAGAGAAATATAAATAAATAAGATAAAAACATAAATAAGATATAAGTTAACTAAGTAAATAAAAGGAAATGAAAGGTATAAACAATATATTAATAAAATCAAAACTTAAGTATTAAAAAAAATATAAAGAAAGAGAGTAAGAATATGATCTTGATCTGAAAATTAAGACACCTAAATGCATGATAAATGCCTCTTTTTATATGCCAAAATTTGAAACTATTGATTTGTTAACTAATTGTTGAGTGTATGACCACATCTTGACTCGATGACAATTCTTATCTTTTTATCTAAACAAAATGTTATTTTTAGCATCAGAATTTGAACAGATTTTTCTCATGAAAATTCTAGTAAATTGTCTTAGCTTTTTTAAAAAATGAGGTTATTTGAATTCTTAGAACTTGAAATATGAACTAAATACTGAACAATGTCTGGGCTGCAGGACATATTCAAATTTTTTTTTAATGTTAAGATTTAGACTTTTAAATGACAGAATTGAGTTTTGGATGATCATGAATATTTGAGGTCTATGTCTTAGCTTTTTATCTATATAAATCAAATTGAAATCCAAGATCTATAGCTCCAAATATGATTTAATGACTAAACAGTGTTTTAATTTGACCTGAACTAACATCTTTTTTTTAAGTTTAACCTTCTCTTTCTTCTCAATTTCAGTAGTTAAACTCATTAATTAATTCTTTTATTTATGTGATAGGCCTGCATTTAAGATGAACGCTTACCATAAATCAAAGACATCTTATATTTATTATATATGTTATTATAAATCATATTATAACTAATGAGTTATTAATACTTTAAGTGCAAAATAATAATATAAAGTCTTTATAAAAATATATTTTTAAGTAATAATCATTGTTCAATTCATGGGTGATAACCAGGGTTTAAAAAGTAAATAAAAAAAAGATATATATTTATAGTATTATTAATTTTTTTTATTTCTATCCGAACTGATTTATTCAGTTTTAATTTTTTAAAACCAAACGGAACTAATTTTTTTAATTTAATTATTTTTTAAATATTTTTACTCACTCAAACAATAATGTTTGTCTAGAGCTTTTATTATGGGATCCAGCAGTCCAGTAGGATCCCTTAAAAGAGCCAGCGTGTCGGGTGGTCGGTGTATAACAAGGATATATTTTTTGACCCACGATGTAATTTGAGGGAAAAAAACTTTATTACTACAATAATTAATGTGAAGGTATAATGTCCTACTAGAGCTTTTATTGTGGGATTCAGAATTCCAATAGTATCCCTTAAAAGAGAAAGGATGCCAGGTGGCCGATGTACAACAAGGGTATTATCGGCATAAAAGACGAACGCACGCTATAAATATAGAGTACCCCCCAATACTTTCCTGGCAATTACTGATAGCATAAAACACGAACGGACGCGTTTGGAGGCATCGCCGTCTAGAAAACCTAGACTCGAGTCCTCTAGTGCAAGTTGGTTCGATTCGATTTGGGTTTTTTCTCCTGGATATCTTGCAAATCGAAGAAACAAAAGCGATTTTATTTATCTATTTGTTAATACCCCTTTGATCTTGGGTGGGTAATTCTAGTTACAGATCCAGATCCATTAACCAATGTCTCGGTGCTTCCCTTACCCGCCTCCGGGCTTCTACCGGATCGAATCGATCAAGGTTTGTTGGGCAAGTTTGATTTTTGCGTCTAATGCTCGACTTGCTTTCGTTGCAAAACTGAACTTGTAATTGTGTTCTAAATGCTTGCTAGCCTTCTTCGGCCTCAAGACTTGACCTATAGACTTTAGGGTTTCATCACTTAATTCAACTAATTCAGTTAAGTAATAATCCATGTCTAGATATTGCAATCTTGATTCTTCCGCAATCTTATTCTTGGTTGGGTTTTTTGCATGTGTCATTAGGGATTTGAATATAAAGAATCGTAAGTAAATTGGTAGAAATATTGCTCCTGGAAAGTCAATTTTTAGGATGTGGGATGAATTCTAGAAAACAAAGCAAAAAAATTAGTATGGAGTCGAATCTTGAGGATGAAGCCCATGAATTGACAGGTGATTTAACCTCTTGCAATGAATTTTAACGTATAATGCCCTAGCTTCCTGTTTCTTGACATAAATTTGGCAAGTGTTCATTTTGTGGGAAGATTTTGTAATTCGTGAGTTGGGTAATTCATGCTACTTTGATCGTGGCCATCTATTCTAAAATTGTTCTTATGGTACATAAAAGATCCAAAAGGAAAAGGAGCTTTCTGTAACAGAAAGCTATAGGGAGGCAAAGAAGAAGGAGAAGAAAGAAAGAAGGAAGCAGAGGAAAGAAAACAGTAACCAAACTGGTTATTACGGGGGTAAGTCTCAGCAAGAGGGGAAAGGAAGGCTTACAAAGGAAAAAAGGGAAGAAACTGAAAAGAGTGGTCTTACTGAAGAACACAATGAGCCCGTATGCCTTCAGAATGTTTGCTATTTGTCTGATGATGGTATTCGGAGCAACAAGAGGAGGAAACTGGACCCCTCAACAACTACTGATGACAAGCCTCGTGAGTTATGCTCATTTCTTCATTGATAGGTATATTTAATTGGTCTTATTATTTCTCGCAGGCTTGTTTAATTTTCAAGTTGTTGTTATCATCATCAATCAGGCAATGTCTTTCGCATTCGGCTGCCCTTGACAAGGCATAAAGAGCCAGATGTGTCTCTCAATAGTAAAGGGTTGTGCTCTACTTCTGGTGGGGCAGATTCTGTTTCTGGGCAGAGTGAAATTGTCCGTTTATCTGATCAAGAAACTGTCAACTCAAAGGCTGGGGAACTTGCATCTCTACCAAAAAATATACCTTGCAGTTCAGTTTTAGATAAGTTGGAGAGCTCTATTAGCCATGAATCTGAAACTTCTCGGTTCGGATTTCATGACCACAAGACGTTGAAAGCCGACTCACAATACAAAGGTTTAATTGAGGATTGGGTTCCACCACCTCTTCAGTTTGAGCTTAAAGATTCCGACGATGAAGAGTGGCTTTTTGGGACCTTAAAGCAAGAAAGTCATGGAAACAAGAGACTAAACGCACGCCATGATATCTTGTGTCGTGAAAGTTCTACTTCGTTGCCACGAGCACATTACTTGCCCGAGTCTGATGTTTACGCTTTACCGTATACAATTCCATTTTGATGTGAAGCATCCGTTAATGGAACCGATTTTGAATTTGTAGTGCAGATTTTACTATTGACATGATAGACAGGTTTAGAGCAGCCAACGTGTACAACTTGTAAATGAATGTAATTCTTTTTTGTTCTTTGTTATGTACAACAGGTTTAGAGCAGCCAAGTCGATGTTACCCACTCAGAATGTAATTCTTTGTTATCCTGTCAGAAACATTCTGTCATTGAACATTTTTTGATGCCCTGGATCTTTTTAATATTTTCATTGATTGAATTGTCCATTGTATAATAAACTCATGGTGAGTTTTTGCTTCTTTGTTATCCTGTCAGAACATTCTGTCTTTGAACATTTTTTGTCTTTGCCTACTTGTCTGATGGTGGGAAAACTCATGGTGAGTTTGTGCTTCTTCGTTGATTGGATGCGCGGGTCTTACCATTTCGTGCTGGCATTTTGTAATCCTTGAGCTGTTATGATGGTCAATCAGGTACCATCATTTGTATACAGCTGCCATTGAGAAGGCATAGAGAGCCTGATGCGTCTGCTGATGGGGTAGGGGTGGGGTTGTTCTCTACTATGGGAATAGCGGATTCTGTTGCTTAGGAGCATCAAATTATTGAAACTTCTTTGGGGTCTAGAATGTAAGATAATGAGACGCGGAAAGTAGAATCACTTTACTAAGATTTGATTTTGGGACACAAAATGATTCTGCTATGCTAACGAATCATTTTCATGGTGCCCGTTTTTTCATTTGGAGCTAAACAATCCTGATTTTCGAGACACAACAAAGCAAGAGCATGGGTGCCAAAGATTGAAAGTTTGCCATGATGTCTCATGTCATGCTGAATCTACGTCAAGGCTGCGTGCACAGCACCTGCCTGAGGCTGATGTTTAGGAAAACACTAGGCATGGTCAAGAACTTTTAAGGCGTTCATGGTGCCCAGTGCTTTTGTTGTCAAGGTGTCCATGAATGAGCTTCTGTTGGGCACTGTTAGTCTCAATGCGGGAATTGCGAGTTCGAGACAAAAGGGGCTAGAAGCTGAGAGAGCCACCAAACACCACCTTTTAAGGTGGAGCCCTGTTAGTGTCAATGTGTTTGTATTTCTTCTACATCTAGTGCAATTTCCTTTCTATTCTTTTTACAATCTTGTGTTCATTTTCTACCAGTGTATAAAACTCTATCTTTTGCAAATCTAACACAGGCCCATATACGGTCAATCTTATGGACAGTTTAAAGCCATATAAATCTTCAAATATAATCAAACCATTGGATCATTCCCAGAACATGAGCTGTTCCAGTTCAATCAAAATGCGGTTCTGCTTAGGTCCTTTTGGAACCAGTTTGAATTCTGCTGCCACCCGTTGGTGACTATCATCCTCCAAAAGCATTCTTAAGCCTCGATAAACACTCCCTTACTCACTCCACATGAATCTTCCAAATGTTTTTCACTAGTTCTTTTTAATATAGGCCGTTAAGTTCCACAGTGCAAACTGAGATTGGTAGTGACTGGGACTGGGATCTTTCTCATTGAAAAAATAGAAGAAAGAATGGAAAAAATGCTGTATGCAACAAAAGTCTCTTATTTTTTGGTGCAAACTGAGATCGGTAGTGAAATCCATTACGGCGAACTCACTGTGTATTTTAGTCGTCAACAACCAACCCTCTACTTCACATCCTATATGCCACCTTTTGGTTGCATCGGAACCAAGCAAGAAGGGAATGCGGCAAAATGATCAACCCTGCGATTCTTTCAGGTAGTCTCTCAACATAGAACGGCTCTTTCGTCCTGCCCTACTTGGCGTAGTGACATCAACTCTACTTAATGATGCAGTATCAACACTACTATGTGATGCATCATCATCATTTAATTGCAGAAATGAAGTCTCCAGCCCTGGTTTGCTGCCAAAATCCAGGAAAAGGTCATCAGGTTCCTCATCACTCGACTTTTTTAAATCATTACCATAGCTGTTCACCCATTCTCCTTCATCTTTTTCACCTCTCAATAGCTCAAGTATCTGGAGCAGGGATGATTGAAATGAAAGTCCTTGTTAGCTTGAACTCAAATGTTATCAAAGAGAATTGAACCAAGTTAAACTTCTAATATTTAATTGGCATGGCCAAACAATCTTTAAATTCAAGTTTTTCATGTCCACTGTTAGTCAAAACAAATTCTAGAGAAGCCTGTAGCAAAGTCTTGGCAATCTAGCTTGAGGCGTTGGTGATGTTTATGGATTCTTAAAACAAAACCGCATGTGATTTACAGGTTATTTTAACTAGGAAGAGATCGCAATTGTAACAGTCCTATATCACTGTTGAGTACCTGGCTAACTTTAGGACGTAATCTATCTGTTTGTCTGACACAGAGTGTTGCTGCAAGAACCATTCTTTGCATTTGAACAACGTCAAAGTTTCCATTTGTCTTTGGATCCAGCAAAGCTTTTAGATTCCCACTCTCTAATAACGGTGTTGCCTGCATTAGGTTATTCATCAACTTTGTTAGGTCATCCATTGAAACAGTGGTTTTGGGGGACTAGAAGCAAGAACAGCACTAAGATCAGCAACCGGTGAAGAGAGTGTGGGAAAACTCTTACCCACTTAATCAGGCACTCCTGTCCTTTCAGATCTTTGGAAATGATTGGTTTCTTTCCGGTTAACAATTCAAGGAGAACTATGCCAAAGGAGTACACATCAATTTTGTCACTGACCCTCCCATTCATGAAATATTCAGGAGCTATATAACCAAAAGTTCCAACAACATCACTATGTATTGCATATGCTGAATCAGCAGGTCCCCATATGGCAAGCCCAAAGTCAGATAACTGCATAGATAGAATTTGAACAGCATCAGGATTACGGTACTTGGAATAAATTTCGCCTTGAAAAGTTGTTTTGATGTGCAACAATTTGTTTGCAATAGTACCTGTGGCTGAAAATCTTTTGATAGGAGAATGTTCGAAGATTTAACATCTCTGTGAATAACAGGGCGAGAGCATTCGTTGTGAAGATGATTTAGAGCCTCGGCAATCGCAATAGCCACTTTGAACCTCACTTTCCATGGCAATACAGACTTCCTTCTCTTACCTGCATCACCATTGACACTCGAATAACTACACTTATTCCTGCATCATGTCTAAAGAAGCAACCTAGATGCTCAAAGATACTTGCCTTGTAGTCTCTCATCTAAGCTCCCCTGGGATAAGAAATCATAGACCAGAATTAAATGGTTATCCTCGACGCATATGCCAATTAGTGGTGTAATGTGCTTATGCTTTAACGAAGACATGATATCTATTTCCAAGGAGAAGTCACTCCATGCTTCCTTGTACTGTTTTAGAATCTTCACTGCCACTTGCTTACCTCCAGGGAGATATCCTTTATATACGTTGCTACACCCTCCCTCTCCGACGAAGTTCTCTGTTGTAGAAAACAAATTCATATCAACAAAACAATTTGTCAAATAAATAAATCTACACCTCCATGCCCTGTCTAGTTGTGCTCTTAGAAAAGAGAATTGAACCTGAGGAGAATTGATGAGTTGCTCTCTTCAGCTCCTCATAACCAAATTGTTTGCAGCCAGACGTGCACACTCTATAGACGCAGTCCATCTTCTTTGGCAGCTTTGATGCTAAGCAAGCCCCCATATTCTTATCCTTGTAACCACGCATCTTGTTTTCAACATAGCTCTCTACTTCTTTGGAAACAAAATCAATTTGAAATTTCGTAGTTGCGTCTTCAGATCGATCGGTTAGACTCGAAGCCCATTGAGCCACTGAAAATTTTTCAGCCTGAGATTCTTGAAAAGATTCTAAAGATGCAGAAGTTTTTACACGGAGAAGAGGCCAGCCAGGCCCTGATCGTGTGGAGTTTTTGGTGAGTACATGATCTGGATGCGAAGAAACTTCCTGCTTAAAGCCAAATCTCGCATCTTCTCCATTGCTGCTGCCATCTCTTGACCGATTTTCAGAGGTATGAAACAATTGGATAACAGTCCCTTCAATCTTGCATTCGTTGACAATAGAATAATCTGTTTTGAGATTAAAAGGAATCTTCGTTTCATTTGAATTCCTTTCGACCAGTGACATATTCCCTACTTCCGAATTTCTCAACGTGTCCAGAGCTGAACGATTGGTTCTTGGAAGAAGAGGCCAACCAAGCTCTGACTCAGGCAGCTCTCTTCTGATTACAGAAATTGATCTGAAAGTAACTTTTGCCTTGTAAATAACGCTGTCTTTCAAGTAAGCACTGTCATCTCTTGATACCTCTTCAACTCTTTGAAATGTGCAAGATGTGATTTCATTAACACCAGGCACCCTTTCTTCTCTTAAACTGGCATGGTTTGTATCAAGACAAGGCTTAGGATTTAACTTGAAACCTGCAAAATATGATCGAAATCAGAGAGTCACTTTTTTTAAAACTTTTACTAAATTTTTTCCAGAATTAAATGTGATGAATTAATCAAACCTCCTATCAGTTTAATTAAATCCCTTTTGAACATTATTTTCGCCTCTTGAGCCGCCCAAACAACGATAATTGCAGGCAAGTGATCGGCAAAAAACTTATCCCATGAACTCCCGTTCCTGAAAGATATTTAAATAAAAAATCAGAGAGAAACTCAAGAACCAACCACTTTCTTATGTAGAATTTCCATCTCAACTCACCTGGGAGAGTTTCCTGGGTTTAGTTCTACTGACAGAGCTGCACAACGCTTTACCGCTTTCTTCAAAACCTTCTGGATAGAGCATGAACTTGAAACAGGACTAACCCTTTTCACCAATCCCTTATAGCATCGTGAACAGTCTTTTGTGTCTAAGCTGTCTTGAAAATCATTATCTTGAGAAGAATACACGAGTAGCAAAGAAGAAAATCAGGAACAGTTCAAAGAGTAAAACCAGTTAGCATTCAAGATTGAAAAAACACAGACTTTGCTAGTAATTAATACCTGAACTGGTGAGCACCTGATGCACAAATTTGGCAACTTCAAAGAGATCACAGTTGAAACACTCTGCACAAGAATTGCCTATCAGGTTTCCATGAAAAACCTGTTCCATTTTCTTCGAATCTTCTGCTAAAATTCCCTCACGAACGCTTAATTCTCCTTTCATTGCGTTCAAGCCTCTCTGGTTCCACCTTAATCTCCAGCCTCCCCTAGCATTCATTTTAAGCACGTTTCACATTTCTGCCATTTATGACCATCAGCAATAACACTAGTCCCATATACAGCCCGCCATTACTATTCGCCCCATAGATAGAATATTACATTCTTTTTTAATGAATTCAAACAACAACCAACAGAAAGATTACAATAAGGAAACAACAAGGTAAAAAGCTCAAACAATTCTAAAGAAACATCTTAGTCATTGATTATATGATTACGAACGCTAAAATGTGTGACCATAAAGGTAGAGAAGTCCATATGATAAAATGGTTGAATCTTTTAAAACATGGACAAGTAGACACGGGACCTATGCCTGATGTCGAAAATTTGACTATGTTCTTTGTTTTTATTAAAGCTTACCAAACATTCTTAAATTATATGGACATCAAGACAAAAGATTGCCCGTCATTAGAAGAAAGTTTAACTTAGCTTCACCGAAATTAAAAAAGAAATAAAAGGTAAAGTCTGCACGTCTCATTCATTTTTTAATTCAAGTCCGACAATCTTCAGTTTTTGACCAGAGTCTACCAAACAAGCAAACCAAAGTCTTTGTGTGTTTTGTCTATGAATATCCTCCTTTGACCTGGTCCCAGTTTGGATAATTTTTTGCTTTTTTTTTTCTTAATTGTTGCTTGTATGATTGTATCTTTATTTTCTTTCTTTCGTTTTTTTGGTTTTTTTTAAATATTAATTTTATTTGCCAAAGGTTAAGTATTAATTCCTTAGCTTTTAATTTCTTTTTAGCGTGAGTTTGTTTTTGCCGTTCAAGTGTTTTCTAAACTATCTTTTACTTGAAAAAATATTAAATTAATATTTTTAGATGTGTTTTTTTTTAATAAATTAATATTTTTAGATGTGTTTTTTTATATATATAATTTTAATGTGTTAATATGAAAAATATAAATATAAATATATTATTTTTATAATTTTCAATTGAAAAATACTCTATAAAAATATCATGTAAGACTTTAACAACGCATAAGTTAGAGAAACTTTAGAGGGTAAAATGTTACCCAAAAAAGAAAAAGAGAGGTTTTTGAACTCTAACAAGAAAAAAAAAATCTCAATTGAACACTTGAATAAAACAAGCGATGCGTCGCTGTATCTTAGACATCAACCATGACACGTCGTTTATTTAGGTAAAACTCATTTTTGTAGATCACATGTTCCCCAGTATCAAACGACAGGGTCGTTATCCGAGGTCCTAAAGCTGAGCGACATGTCACCCGTTAGCCTTAGATGGGTTGTTTGATTTAATGAGAAAAATCTCACACTATCCCTTCTCAATTTAATTTGTAGGAAATTAGGAATTGTTTAATAACTTCAATGTACATTTTTGTTTCTGCTAAGAATAGATGCGTTCGAAGATAATCATGCCAGCATCTAAGTTTACGCAATTTTACACTCAGAGATAAACAACGAAGAAGATAATCAATATACAAATTAATTAGTTAATCATCATTTAAAATTACATTTAAACATTTACCAAATTTTAATAATAAAATTAAACTATCAGTATGGAGGTTTTTAGAAAAATGTATTTTTTATAATGTTTTTTTAGTTTTTTTCTATTTAAAATGAATATTTCTCTTATTTTATTTTTTCTATTCAATATTATTAGCATTTTTTCTTGTTTTTTTTTTCTTATATAAATGGTTGCAATAATTTCTTGGCAAGTAAAGAGATGAATAAATAAAAATTGAATATTTTTTTTGTCTTTTCATATTTATGTTTTTTTTAGGATTTTGATATATAACAAATTTAATTATTTTTTGCTTTTATCTGCGTTAATTGATACTAGAGCTCACGATTTTTAATAGTTTTTTTAGTTTTATTATGTGCTCCAGAACAATCATAGCCAGCAAAAATTGTATAAAAAAGGATGGAGAGATTTCTCTTTAAAAAAATCATCAAAGATCTAATGTATTGTTTATATTTGGGCCAATTGTTTTCACTCAAAATATTAGCGGTGAGACCCACAATAAAACACCTGGACAAGGATGTTGTTTTAGGGGTTTATGATGGGTTAACTTGTTAAAAAAAAAAAATGTCAGGGAACCATGAGAAAATGTTGATGGAGAATAATTTTTAATTGCATACTACACTTAATGAGTTCCTTCCAACTTGAGACACTAATGTAGGTACTTTTTAAGAAAAAAATATATTTTTCTATTTTTTTTATTCTTTATTATGATATTTTTTATTTTAATGTAATATTTTTCTTAGTTTATATTTTTATTCAATATTATTATAGTTTTTTTAATTTTTTTTCTTTATAAAAAACTGTAATAGCTTTTGGGTGAGTGAAGATATAAATAAAAAAAATTTAAATATTTTGATTGTATTTTTTTATTTACAGTATTTTTCACCTTTTAAAAATTTAATTAGTAACTAATCTCTTTATTATTCACTCTCATCTACATTAATATTTTATACATCATATATATGCTTAAAGTATATTGATTTTTTTAGCCCCGTCACAGTGTGCGGGCGCCCGCCTTATGCTAATTACCGTGTGAAGTGAATTATTTCTCACAATTCCGTTTCTAATTCTGAAAGAATATTAAAGGCCAAACCCACTTTTGTCTAAAGATAAAAGTAGGCCATGAGCAATGAGGCTCATCCATAGCCTAACCCATTATCCCTCAGCCTCTTTTACGTAAAATTACGCTCACAGCCCTCCGATTCCCATAAAATAAAAAAAAACACATTATTATTATTATTGTTATTATTATTAAAAAGCCTTCACATTTTACATAGGTAATGAACAGTTTCATTGTAATCCTCTAATTTTTTATTTTATTTTTAACTTTAAACTTAGTTTTTTTCCAAAAAACATTATCCCTTAATATTGAATTTATTAAACATTAAATTTTATAATCTGTTTCAATTTATTTTTTATGAACTTATCTCAGTTTTATAACTTGGATTACGAGTTTTTTGTGTTAGTTATGTTAACTCAGATATTTTTTTTATTTTTTTTAAATTATTTTTTTGACTTTATCTTTTAATTGATTGAGAATTAAGTTTCATAATTATTTTTTAATTTGTTTTCTATAGAGATACCCTCACTTTCTAACCCGGATATTACAAGTTAATTTGAGTTAACATTGATTTTTTTAACATATATTGGAAAGCCTTGGCATTTCATTGTGGTAATGAATCACTTTAATCCTCAATTATTTTAATTTTTTAAAAATAATTATTTTTCAATATTAGATTTATTAGGTATCAAACATCATAATTTATTTTAATTTGATTTCTATAAAGTTATTCTTATCTCGTGACTTGAGTTATAAGTCTTGCGAATTAACTATGTTGACTTTATATTTTTTAATTAATTTTTTTCAGTTTTATCATTTAATATTGAGTTTATCGGGGATTGAATTTCATAATTGTTTTTTTATTATACAAGATTATCATGATCTTATGATCCGAAACATGAGTTTTATGGGTTAGCTAGATTAGGTCAGTTTTTTATTTTAATTTTATTATTCAACATCAAGTTGTTTTGAAACTAAACTTTATAATTTTTTTAATTTTTTTCTAAGAAATTATCCTTATTTCTTGATTCAAGTCTGATAAGTTAACTTGTGTAGATTTAAATTATTATTTTTTTCAAATTGATCCCTTGATATTAGGTTTGATTAAGAATTAAATTTTATATTTTTTGTATATGTTTTTTATGAGGTTATTATAATTTTATAATTTAAATTACGAGTTACGCATGTTAACTTGAGTGATTACTTTTGTTTTTTTAGATGATTTTTTTTTTAAATTTTATCATTCAATATTTGATATGTTAAAAATTAAGTTTTATAATTTATTTTGATTTGTATTTTATAAGATTATCTCGATCTTATAACTCAAGTTATGAGTTTGTTTAGTTGACTTAAATATTTTTTTTTTAATTTCATTGCTCAACATTAAATTGATTAAGAATTAAATTTTATAATTTATTTTAATTTATTTTATATAAAATTATTTCAACATTATGATCATATATCAATTCAAAATTTACTCAAATGCTTTTATTAGTTTAATTTTATTTTTATTTTTATTATTTATCAATTAAAAATTAAATTTTATAATTTTTTTTTACAAAAGATATAATATGTTATTTTAATGTTTATAAAAAAATATTTTCTTATTTTTTTAATTTATGGTTGTCCGAATTGTTTTACATTATTTAATATTTTTATGCTAAAAAAGAGAGAGTGTAGTCTAGTTATTTTTTTAATTACATTCACACCCTACGGGATTTTCTTTCCGTTGGCATTTCCATTTGTGACTTGCCAGCCAGGCATCGTCACTGTATTGATGCCTTCAACTCACTGCAACTTCTTGATCCAAACAAGAACCGCAGAGAGGAAGAAACGGAGAATACAATGATCTTAGCCGGAATAGAAGACGAAGACAAATGGCTAGCAGAAGGAATTGCCGGCATTCAACACAACGCCTTTTACATGCATCGCGCTCTGGTAATCAATTAAGCTTTGCAATCTCACTTAATTTCCAATCCGAAACCCTAATTTTGCTCTCAATTTTCAAATCTCAGGACGCGAACAATCTCCGAGACGCTCTCAAATGCTCAGCTCTAATGCTATCAGAGCTTCGAACTTCTAAACTCTCTCCTCACAAATACTACGATCTCTGCACGTTTCTAACCCTAATCTCTGGACTTAATTTCTCTAATTCTTCGAAATGATTTGAATTAAAAAAATTATTTATTTATTTATTGTTAGATATGAGAGCGTTTGATGAATTGAGGAAACTAGAGATGTTTTTCAAAGATGAGAGTAGACATGGCGTTTCGATTGTTGATTTATACGAACTTGTGCAACATGCTGGAAATATATTGCCTAGACTGTAAGTTGCATATTTAATTTGTGCTGCTGCTTTTCTTCTTCTTTTTTTTTCTCCTTTTGGGTTGAAGATGGCATTGTTGAAATTTTTAACAGGTATCTACTGTGTACAGTAGGATCGGTGTATATCAAATCGAAGGAGGCTCCGGCTAAGGATGTGCTCAAGGATCTTGTAGAGATGTGTCGCGGTGTTCAACATCCGATTCGCGGATTGTTTTTGAGGAGTTATCTTGCTCAAGTTAGTAGAGATAAGTTACTGGACCTTGGGTCTAAGTATGAAGGGTAAGAGATGTTAGTTTTAGGAATTTAGTGGTAAAGTTTTGTTAGTTTCTTATTGTCATTGACATTAAAGTACTT